TCATTTGATGATAATTGTTATAAAACTCATTAGTAGAAATTTTGATATGAATCTTTTTTGAATGAGACATTGTACGGTAATGAATGCACTCAATAGAGATCGAGATGCAGGTGTTTGATGGCGGAAACAATATTCAACTCAAATGTCACTTGCATTCTAGTCAATCAAGTTTGATTTCAATTTGATTTCTCGTGATGTATGAAGGACATAGTTACTTTTATTCATGTTTTAGGTTTATAAATAATTATTAATGGTTTGAATTCAATGGAATTAGTATTCTTTGAAATGATATAATAAGAGATTCTATTTAATTTCATTTGCAATAGATGACAGAACAACACGTATTATAAACATAAGAAAAAGTTGAGCAATTACAAACAAAAATTCTGATTGTTGAAACTTTCATCCTATCAATTAATGTCTGAATCTTAATATTGACATTGTGAATCATTTTTTTTTCGTTGCATGTTTTTAACATTGGATTTTATCAACCAAACAAAAGGGAAAAATCCAATTGTTTTCCTTCATGAATGATTATATATCCATGAATATTTCAGCAAGTTGAATGTTCAGTATATTTAGCTAAATTCAAGAACAAATTAAAAATAGATTTATTAAATAGTTGCTGATTAATTTTTTATGTATTGTTGTAAGAAAAGAAATAATAAAAACCGTGTAATTTTCTTTTTTTCTTCTTGGAAGATTTTTTAAAAACTAAAGCTTAGATCATAAAACAATTTCTCTTATCTTACATAAAAGAATAAAAAACAAAAGAAATAATATTTGATTGAAATTTTGTTTTCTCTTGATATTAAATTCTTACGAGACGTCATTGGAATATAACCAATATTGACTTTACACATTTATTCTTTCTTTCAATTGACGTCATGCTAACAAAAAAAAAATTTCAAATGACGAGTATTGATTTGTCCAAGTTGTTATTTAAATAATATATATATATATAATAGGCTATTATATTTTCTAAAGCATATTAATATTCAAATGACACGGACTGTTCCTTTTTGTATTTCCAAATAAATTCCAAATCAATAAAATGACCGAAAATCCCTTTCGAATTATTGAATTAGATGAACAAAATTTTCTTCACGATTGTTTAGCACTGAAAACTTTATGTGCTATACCGAATCGAGATTCTGAACATGATGAATTTATTCAATTTTGTCAAGAAAATGATTTCTTACAATACATATCTGAATTTGAATTTCCACATCGTCCAGATGTGGCCATCCAATTGTATACTCGATCATCTGGTTTTTCATCAAAAATTATAAATAGTACGTGTCGAACACAAGATCTTTTATTAATATCGAAAATTCGATATTATCTTAAACATCTTCATGAAGAATTAACACGACTTTATATAGACAGTCTGTTTTGGATACCAAAATTTATTACTGTCTATCGTGGTCAAAGATTTTCAATGGAAGAATTTCAAAAATTAGTTCAGTGTCATGAAAAAACTATTTTAACAACCCAATATCTTTCAACAACGAGCGTTTATGATATAGCTGTTGCATTTGCCGGTTATGATATTCATTCGAATGAATCATCACAGGATGAAGTAGCAGTTATTTTTAAAATTTCAATACGAACAAAAAATAGTCATTTAAAACCATTTGCATATATTCAAGAATATAGTCATATTACAGATGAAAAGGAAATGTTAATATCAATGGGAACAGTATTTTCGATTGTCGATATATGCCAACGAGGAGTAAGTATGTTAGTGAATAATGAGTAAGGTGTCGGCAATTCAAGATTTGAACAACATTTTTCTCGCATTTTTTCTTATGGTTCAATAGAACTCGTCGAGTTACTTGTACAAATGTTGTTGTTGACATATTCAGATAATGTTTTCATAGTGAAACCTAGTAAAAATAGGTTTGAAAAAACTAATAATAGCCTATAAAACTTGAAATATGCCAAAAGCATAAAATCTTGATAGTCTCAATTATTGATTCAAACTTTTTTTCGATGTTATTCGTTGTATATTCAGAAGAAAAATAATGCCTAGTTTTTGAAAAATATTGTTTGATTCTTGAGTAAATCGGTTTTTATTATCTATATGATAACAAAACACCCCTAAATACGGGTTTATAATCTAAGGTTTTGACCATGAGAAATTTAGTTTCAAAATGAATGAATATCATATTCAGAATCACTGCAAAAATCTGCATCGAATAGTATGCTCAATACTCAAAGCTAATTTTCGCCAAATTTCGAGCTTAGGGGAAGAACAAGTGGGAGCTCATCGGGTCCAAAATTTTCCGAGCAGCACTAGAATCGAGTTACTAGGAAATTTTCAGATTGAAATTCTACCTGGATCAACTTCATGATCGCTGAACATCTGTCACAGTATTCGAAAATAAAAGTGAGGGGATGTAACTACTGAAATTTCACGAAAATTACTTTTGAGTATTGAGTATAGTATTCGATGCAAATTTTTGCGCTGGTTCTGACTATGATATTTTTTTTCTTACGGACCGAAGTTCTCATAGTCAAAATTTTAGAATATAAATTCGCACTTATGACATTTGCTATCATAACGAAAGAATCGATTTTCTCGGCAAGTCGCTACAGAGACATTGTTTGAATATGTCAACGATAATACTTATAAAGGTAATTCGACGAACTCTGTCCAATCCTGATCAAAAACATTCTGCTCAAATTCTGAATCATCAATACCTTAAAGCTACGTAAAAAAATAACAAACATTTTTACGGTAGGAAAACTTCTACGAAATATTATTGAGACATGATCAAGCTGAAAAAGAAATTGAACAGAAAATATTAAATAAAGCAATCGAAACATTCAGTAACGGAACAACAATTACCATAGGTGATTTTTTAATTTCGGCAAATATTCATAGTCCATTAGATGATGATTTTTATCGTCAGCCATTGACATCATTATTAGAAGAATATTCACAATGCCAATCAGGAAACATTATCAATTCAGGTAAAAATTCTGAACAAGCTTTTTTTCCTACGTACTTTTTGATAATAGTTTCTGATCAAATTTTATTATTATTTACTACAGAAAAGGTACAAGAATATCAAAATACTATTAAAACTAAACAGTTATCAACAAAAAGTTTTAAACATTGTAAAACTGACTTTCAAAGAAAGCTTTTTAATGAATTGCTTGTCAAAAAGAAAAGAAATATTAATTAAGTTCAACGTACATTATCATTATAAGACTAAATATTTCCCAATACTCCATCGAAGAAACTTCATAAACAAAAGTCTCTCAGGATCAAAACAAAAACTTCAGTTATACTTATCTTCATTTTTACCTCATTAACAAATTTATGCGAAAGTAAAAAAATTATTTTAAATTTCATTATGAATCTCGTTTTATATAAAGATTTTTCTTTATTCTCATCTTGCATTATTATAAAGAATAAGTAAAATCATATTCATACTTCATATCTTTTGAACAACAAATCTGTTCTTCTCACAATATTTCAGCTTCAACAGAATCTTCAATAATGTCTATACCAATTTGTTCTTTGGGTGTAACTCATGATCATTTAATTATATGGCTCGATCAATTTATTGGTGAAAATAATGTCTATGTTGATCTGAAACAGACATTAGCCGATGCAGTAGACCTCAACATTGATGCACCTTTTATGGGAGATGAAATTGATACATTAATTTTTAATGATAAAATTTATCATCCGAAAAAAGTATTGATTGCCGTTAAAACTATTGAAGAATGTTTAGACTTAATTCACACAAATCAGAATAAACGAATATTTCTAATTACTTCCGGTTCATTAGGTGAACAAGTTGTACCTGGTCTATTATATACTTATCCGTGTTTGGAAAAAATTTTTATTTTTTGTGGTTCCATTCTTAAACATATGAATTGGGCACTTGATTTTGAAGATAATTTGCTTATGTTCGATTTTCCCAATGATGTATTGGGACGTGTAGTATATGATATTGGTATGTATTACATGCAACAAGCAATGATTTTTCGTGATTTAAATGAACATGTGAGGGCATTATATTACTTGTATTTCAGTAGAAAATTGGTGAAACGAGCGAATATTATTTTTCATCTAGGTGCATGGCATAGTCCAACAGCAATTGAAGGACAAATTGCGAGAGAAGAAAACTTATTACCTAGAGATTTGCTGCAGCATATGCTCAATAATATTTAGCATGATTAGAATATTTTCTACCTTGCTCATAGTCATTTTCATTCATAATCAACGATTAATTCCGATGCTTAAGAACATTTTTGCGTGAAGAACTCATTTATTTATTAATCTCAAACAATAGTCAGATGATACTCATATTATAAAAACCAGTGCAGTTATTAAATACTCAATAGCCACGAGAATTATCTCTTAATCATAAACGATAAACTTGTACGATAAAGAATTATTAATGAGATCAACAGAATACGAATATATCCCGAACATTTATTAAATACTGAATGACCATCGAAATACCCTAATCTCTACCAGTGTATTGAGGCAATGCCTTCAATTTATTAGTAGTCAACAATATTATAACGAAAAGTTTCGCTCGCTTCTATTTCAAGCTATGATCATTTTAAGAGGGCTTCCATCAAAAATCTAACTCCCACAGGGTATATGCGGTATTGAGGAAATTTTACATAGATGTTCAGCTCGTGAAAATGCATTAATAAAAAGAATTTCATGCTTTCATACCTTACCATTCAGGCGGTTTCTACAGGCCAACCTGCAGAGTTCAGGTTGCTTTCATTTGAACGAGAACTCCTTACCACTTCGGATGAGGAAATGGATTTTTCTAATTTTTACTCTGTTTCATTTTTCAGATCATCGAAACTTCAAAAGTCTCGAAATTCTTGGCATGGCTTTATGGAAAACGCAGAGTTTATACAGTATCAACGATTAATTAAAAAATTCATTTCACCCATCTGAAAGACTATGTATATATCTATCGATAAAAAAAAACACATCTCTCTAGAATGAAGTAAATTGAGGAAAAATTTGATCGCGCTGCGATCATGGCCGAAAAAAATCAATTTCGAGAGCAATACAAAAGAATGTTTTTCTTTTATGTAGTTTTCCTATTATTAATTAAAATGAAGGTAAAACATAAAAATGTTACATATCTATTGAAGCATTTATCTATGCACAAATAAATTTTTTTTATGTACTTGTTTCCTTTCACCTTTTTCTAAACGATAATAATAGTAAGTTTTTACTAGCAAATCATAAGAAATATGGTATTTTATTATATACCAAACATCTACTTTCAGGATATAGGTGAAGCGAAGATCTGCACTCATATATTCAGTCATGAACGATCTGAAAAATATGTCTTTAAAATGCGCCAGCTTTGATTATTCGTGAAAAATCTTTGTTTATATCGTCGATCTGCTAGTTCCCAAGGTCATTCATAAAACCTTTGAGAATTAAAGCTGTTTTTATAAATCCGTACATTAGACAACATGTTCATACGTTTATCTCAAAACTTTGTTTTTTGACGAAAATCGAGTTTTTTTAAGAGAGACTTAAAACTGCAGTGTGTGTACAAACATGCTGCAAAAATAATACAATGCAAAGCCATTTTACTTTCGTTATACCTTACATAAGAAAAATGACGTTGATATATTTTTCTCATAACAATCGAGAGATTAACACTAATTGGTAAGTTATCTA